ATCCAAGTGCTGTGAAGTTGAAGTGGGGAACCCTTGCGACCATGCCTCGCATACTACCTAGAGTGCACCAGGCAGGCACACAACAGGGCTCCTACGTGGCCAGGAAGTCTGGATCTAGAAGGGAAAACTCTGTTCTCCCTCACAGGGTATTAAATGGAAAGACATGTTACCCTGAAATGATACCATAACCTGCTAAGCCCTATCCTAGCCCAATGGCACTGAGCTGACTGCTAACGGCTGGAGGCTGCTCCCCCAAGAGACTCTGTGAGTGGTACCAAGATGGGGATGCTGCCTTTGGCTTCATCATTTGAAGATGGGACCCTGGCAGTGTCTCCCTCTAGCTTAATCTCCCAAACCCCAACGCACACACAGGCATCGGCTCCCCTCCTCCCAGGTCTCCTTCCGCCCCTGGACCTCCCTGACCATTCAGGAGGCAGGGCCATTCCCAGGCCAGAGAAGGAAGGCGGGGGAAGGCTGCCCCACTGGGCTGAAGGGCAGCTGTTTATATTATAATTAAGGTTTTACAGCATAAACTGAAATGTAGCTTGACTATTCCTACAAGGCACTGGAGGTAATTACCACTGCTAGAGGCATTCTCCACTGCCAATTATTTCCCTTCCTAATTGAATAACTTAGGCCACATTGTGGAGGACCAGCAAAAGGAAGGAGGTGCTTTCAAATATGGACACTCCTTCAGAGGGCTCAGAACAGCGCGAAGCTTAACACACTGTCAGTCCAATCCTGTCTGAGAGTTCTTTCCTAGGGGTGTAGCATAGAGGATAGGAATGTTAGTCCCAGAGTTCTACCATTTACTAGTTCGGGCAGATCAAACTCCCTGCATCTATTTTCTCTTCTATAAAATGGGAATAATTGAAGTTCAGGCAGACTGCATTTTATTACACATTACTACGTTTTGCAGATACTACAGTTTTTTTACGAATTGAAGGTTTGTGTAACCCTGGATCAAGCAAGTCTGTTGGTGCCATTTTTCCAACAGCATGTGTCTCTAGGTCATATTTCTCACAATACCTGTGTTATTCTCACAATATCTCAAACTTTTTCACGATTACTGTGTCTGTTATGGCGATCTATGACCGGGGATCTTTGATCTTATTATTGTAATTGTTTTGGGGCACCATGAACTGCACGAACATACGACAGCAAACTTAATAAATAAATGTGTGTTCTGCCTGCTCCACTGACTTGCTGTTTTCCCGTCTCTCTCGCTCTCTCTCTCGTTCTGGGCCTCCCTATTCCCTGAGACACAATAAGACCAGTTAATAACCCTACAATAGCTTCCAAGTGTTCAAGTGAAAGGAATAGTCACACATTTTCCACGTTAAATCCAAGGCTAGAGATGATTAAGCTCAGTGAGGAAGGCAAGTCAAAAGCTTAGATAGGCCAAAAGCTAGGCAGGCCTCTTGTGCCAAACAGTTAGCCAAGTTATGAATACAAAGGAAAAGTTCTTGAAGGAAATTAAAAGTGCTACTCCAGTGAACACAGGAATGATAAGAAAGCAAAACAGCCCTATTGCTGATAGGGAGAAAGTGTTAGCGGTCTGGATAAAAGATCAAACCAGCCACAAAATTCCCTTAAGCCAAAGCCTAATCCAAAAACTTCGTGCGACCCGTTTTATTGCGATATTAGCTTTATTGCAGTGGTCTGGAACCAAACCCACTATATTTCCAAGGTATGTCTGTATAGACTTCACGGCATTATTGTGAGAATCAAATGAAATAATAATCATTCTGGCACATAGAGAACATTTAATAATTCTGGCTTAAGGAGGTGGATCCAACAGAGGGTATGACCATGGAGGTGCAGGCATTTTTCTCTTCCCTGCACAGGTGGACGAAACTGAGGCAGAAGTCACACTTCAGTCCCACATGCAACAGCTTGGTCTGGGAGTACCAGCAGCAGATAGAAAGCATGCCTCCCTGGCTTAAAAACAAGAAATTCCTTTGAGTTACAGAAGAAATGGCCCCTCCCAAGAAAGTTGGGCAGATATTCAAGATATCCAGTCTCTGGGAGTGTTTGTTAGTCCCTTTGCCTCCTCTGTATCCATACAAGGTGGCTGGCATTGTGCACAGGCTTGCGGTGGCTTCCTCAGCCCCAGGGAAACCCATGATTGATACCACATACATTTGTTGAGGGCTTTCAACTCTTTCAACTTTATTCTACTCTCATCTCTTTCACACCTCACAACCACCTGGAAAATAAAAGTATCCTTCCTGGTTTACAAATGAAAAAAAAATAGAGACTGAGAGAGATTAAATAACTCACATAAGCTCAATCAAGGACTGAAACACAGCTCTCTGCCTCCAATCTTTCCCACTGCTCCTCCACAGGAAGGAAGTCCATTCAGCTTTCAGGGTTCACCACACACTCCCTTCCCAAAGCCCAACTCTTTTGCTATTGAAATTATATAGTGCGTTTAAAACATCACAGAAGCCAGAGACTGCGAATTCTCCCACTTTAGCGTGTATACAAGTCTCTTAGGGAATGTGTTTACAAACGAAAATTCCAGGGCCACACTCCCAGAAATTCTGACTCCCTGCATCTAAGATGGGGCCCAGGAATCTGTAGGTTAACAAGGTCCCCAGGTTTTTCTAATTTCAATAGTTCAATGACACAGCAACAGAGGCCTATGAAAGACCACCGATGGGACATCAGTGAGTTGACTTAATCTTTCTGAACATTCATTTCCTTCTATGCAGAGGAAGATAATAATATTTACCTCTGCGAGGTTTTGTGAAAATTAAATGAGATAATGCATGTAAAGTGTTGTGCACCGTGCTTGGCACATAGAACGTGCTCTGGTGACATCAGTCCTTGTTAGCACGACTGCTGCTGTCATGAATATTACCGAAATACCACCAAGCCTTGTGTTACTCAAGGGATAAATTATTATAAGCTTGAGACCTTATCATTTGGAGTCACTAAATCTACAGAAAATTGGGATGTAAAAGAAACATAAATAGAATTTGATAAATTTAAGTCATTTTTTAATAAGACTGACTCATTTATCCTCATTTAACTGCCTTGGGGTGGGGGTGTTGGCAGCTGTTTGGACAAACAGGAGTTTGTTGTTTAATTAGCAGACACTGATTAATGGCAGGAAAGGGGAGCAACTGGTAGATATGCCGGGGGAGCTTCTTGAGAACTGGCTTTAAATTAATGTGATCTGCACAAAAATTCAATAGCAGACAGCACTGAGATAGAGAAGAATGTATAGACCCCATCCGCAGCCACGAACAGCTGCCTCCTAGTTATCCTCCATTCCCCTAGGACTCTGGGGACATCTCTGAGTGCAAGGGCATCCTGGGACCCCAGGCTACCTCTATAGGTCGGAAGTCTGGGTGAAGAGGAGCTCTGCCTTCTTATTAGGGAAAGCTGGCCCGGAGGCTGCCCTAGGACTGCTTCTCCTGGGGAAAAAGAAAAACAAGAAGGAAGAAATTTCAGAAGGAAATAAGAAAAATTGAGCTAAGTGAATGACTTACAGACTGTCAGTGGTGGGAACCCCGCACTCCACACATACACACACTTTGAATTTGGCAAAAAGCCCAGGTGAGGTATGAAGTGACTGTCAGCCAGGACTACCCACAGGCTGGCCTGAGGCTGGTGGCCTGAGCTTTATCAGACAGCCTCTAGAAATCTGCATTTCACCCAGGCCACCTCCATCTCTTAGTGAGGCCAAGTAGGCACACACACACAAAAACCAAACAATTTCGGATTGGAGAAGGTCCAGAAATACTCCTGGGTATATTTTGACATCTCAGGAAGTAGGTTCTGAGAGAGCAACCCCAGCATTTCCACACCTGATAGGGCAGGGGCAGGTGGCCATCAGTACTTGACATCAGGCGAGTCATGCTTCAGCCCTTCCTTTGGAAATCTGAGGCCCAAAACACATTTTATGGATGAGAGCCAACCACTCCGGAGAGTTGTCTCTTGTTTAAGCTGTGCAGTGAACTACCTACATAGTGTGAATTGAGAGACCCGGAAAGTCTCATCCCCTAAAAACACCCGCTCCCCAAGCATTTCTGTCTCCAAATGTGTCTGTCCCTTCCTACTACAACATATCCAGGCAGTAACTTTCCTCTCTGATCCAAGTTCCTAAGGTGATGCAAGAGCAGGAGGGATACTCCAAGGAGAAGAGGCTACAACAGTAGCAGGTGAGGCAGTCACTCTTGCTTTCTCCAGAAAGTCAGTCAGTCCCGCTCTTGCTTTCTCCAGAACCCCATCCCCTGCCTTCATTTTCTGTCCTACTCTGCTATTCTCCATGACCTTCATTTGTCTCTGTCACCTGCTCCCTGTGCCTTTCCCATCTCTATGTCCATCCTATGCCAGGTCGATGCTGGATACACAGTAGGCTCAATCCATGCCTGAGGAATGACTAAGCAATGAATGAACAGAGAGGCGTGGAAGAATGTTCAGGGTGAGGGCTGCAGGCACATCTATGCCAGCCCTCCTTTACCCCCAGGGCAAGCCCAGAAGGAAGCAGACACTGGAGAGAAAGGCCTGGCTGTTAATCTTTTACCCAAAGCTCAGCTCCACAGTAACGCTCTTTGTGCTGCCCCTGCTAACTGGGGGCAGAAAATGTGGAAACATCATATATTTGCCTGTAAATCTGCTGCTTTTTATGTAAAAACATTCATGACTGGCTTCATGTTTTAGTCCTTACTTTCTCTCCCTCCTCCTGTATCCATTTTTATAACCCCCTGTTCTCACATGTCCAAACAACGTAACTAATCACTCTGTCACCTTGATCCCCTGCAAAGGTTCCTTTTCCACTGTTTCCCCCCAACCCGCCTTCACCATCTCCTTCTTTTCCAGCTCTTCCCTCTAGGGCAGCAGACTCTTTCATCCATAGTCACCAGGGCACACAGATCTCGTTTTCTTTATGATTCATCTTCCAAGAGGAGAAATGACCAGGATCAAGAAATGCATATGTGACATTGCTGGGGAAATGTGGCTTCAGACAAGACAGGAGTTGGCAGAAATGGAGGTTACTCACTTCACTCAAAGTGAGGAGCTGGGAGAGGTTGCCTTGGGTGGGGAGTTTTATTGGTTTTCATATTTATCACTGCAGAGTGCTATTAATGAATTGCCATCCTCCAAAATCAAACCATCAAGGTTGCCTTTGGGCAATGAAGAACCGCTGGTTACAGAAAGTGCCCCTGTTGGTCTGACAGTTTCTCATGATCAGGAAGTGTCACTGGGTGATCTGGATACCAATGTCCTGTGAGCCCCTCAGTGCTCTCCTCTGATTGCTCAGGAGCTTTGATACACTACACTTTGTCTGTCCTTCTGGAAGCCCTTTCTTTATTTGGTTTCCAGAGACCACAAACTTCTGGTTTTCTTTCTACATCGCAGGACATTCTTTTGCCAGGTCTTCCTCTTCTTCCTAATCTCTAACACTCTGAGTAATGTAGGGCTCAGACCTTGGACCTCTTCTCTATCTATTCCACCTGGCTTTGTCATCTCTCCCCTTCATGGATTTAAATATCAGGTTGATTCATAAGAAACATCTGATGATCAATCTTTTTCACCTGTAAAAAAAAGACACGTTCAATGGTCCTACCTAATACTATATAGCATAACTCCCAAATCTTTATCTCTGTCCCCTGACCTCTCTTTGAACTTCAGACTCTTATCCAGCTGCCTACTTAGACACCTCCACTCAGTTGTCTAATTGGTATGTCCAGATCAACCAAAGCAGTTCAGAGTAGGACTCTAGACTTCCCTGCCAAGTCTGTTCCTCTCCCAATCTTCCCCATCTCAGTTAAGGACAACTGCACTCCTCTGGTTGCTCAGATCAAGAACCTAATAGTCATCCTGGCTTCTTCTCTTTCTCCCACATGTTACAGAAGTAAGTTCTTTTAGCTCTAACCTCACGTCTTACATCTTTGCTCTTATCAACCTAGGCCAAATTTCCTGGGGTTGTTTCCTAGATTAGTGTGATGATATCCTAAACTGGTTTCTGCTTCTGCTTCTACCCTTGGACGTTCTATAATCTACTATCTTTACAGCAGTCAGAGTGAACACTCTGAAGCATACATCACATTGTGCCATTCTCTCCAGTCCAAATACTCCAATGTCTTCCAATAATGCTCAGAATAAAATCTAAACTCCTTACCCTGCCTATTTCCCAGCCCCTGCCCGTGTCTCTAATCTTCATCTCCTTTGCCTGCTTCACTCAGCTGTAACTCTTGCTCCTTCCCACTTCATCTGCCTCTGACACTCTCATTCCACTCATTCAAGTGTGTTCAGTATCACCTCCTCTGGAAAAGCTTTCATAGACCATCCCATTATCAGTAATAGTTATCCCTTCATCCTGCCTTCTTTAATATGCTGATCACATGATAGTATATGATAGGATGATTTGTTTATGTGTTTATTATCTACCTACCAACTAGAACCTAAGTTCTCTAAGGGCAAATATTGTTGTCTCTTTCAGTGTCCTTTCCTAGTGCCTGGCACCTGATAGATGCTCAGCAAATGTTTAAGTGAATGAATGAATTGATGAATGAGTGTGCCAGGCCCCCAGCTCTGTATCCTGTAGAGCTCAATACATAGTTGATGCTTGAGAATCTTGAGCCAGAAGAACTTTGAGCCAACAGTCTAATAATGATGTGGGATTAGGATTGTACTGCAATGTGAGTTTGTAGTTTTTAGAATACTTCCTTATATATGATAACCACTACCTCCTCTTTCCAACAGGCTGGAGGATCCCAAGGAAGTCACTTCTCCCTTTCCATTTTCTCCATCCAAAACATTTAAGTTTTTTTTCTTTATGCAGTGACCATGACATCCTTGGCATTGGCTATCACAACCATACACACACGCCACACCACGTCACACCAACAATGATAAAAATAATAGCAAACTTTCAATAAGATCTTGCATTGAACCAAGCACTGTTCTAAACTTTTTACATATATTATCTCATTAGGATGGCTTAATAATCCTATAAAGTGGGTGCAGATTGGATTTCCACATTCAGGTGAGGAAACTGACTCGCAAAAGGGACTAAGTAACTTTCCAAAGTTTACACAGCCAGTAAGAGAACAGGCCAAATGTTTCTGAGGTTTTCAGTTTGGGATAAGGTCTCTAGTGATGCTATCCACAGAAAGTCCCACTCTCCTACTGTCTCTCCTGTCCAGATTGCTCAAAGCTCTGAAAATCCCATAAAGACAAGGGCAACGAACATTAAGGGGTTCCTGTGTTATAGGGAGAAAGACCCTAGGTCCTCATATCCACCAAGGCGATGTGCTTTCACCCAAAGTATGACCAAGGCAGTGACACAATAGGGCCCTTTTCCATCATTTACCCTCTAAGGGTGCTCTGTGTCACTCAGAGCTGGCCCTCTTTCCCAGGCCAATTGAAGGACACGTTTGCCTCACATCTTCAAGTGAACAGCCGGAATCCATGTAGCAATTTCCCCTCCTTCACCCTCCCTTGTTAGCTCAGCTCCATCTGGTAAACAGGAGTCCTGGTGCCCCCGGTTTTCAACCCCCTCACCTGACAGGTAGCACCTAAAGAAAAAGGATTTCTGAAAAAAATCACATCGCCCGCACTGCCAAGGACAAGGAACCCTCAGGCTCATGCATTGATATGGTTTGGCTATGTCCCCACCCAAATCTCATCTTGAATTCCCACATGTTGTGGGAGGGACCTGGTTGGAGGTAATTGAATCATGGGGGCAGATCTTTTCCCGTGCTGTTCTTGTGATAGTGAATAAGTCTCACGAGATCTGATGGTTCTATATGGGGGAGTTTCCCTGCACAAGCTCTCTCTTTGTCTGCTGCCATCCATATAAGACATGACTTGCTCTTCCTTGCCTTCTGCCATGATTGTGAGGCCTCCCCAGCCACATGGAACTGTAAGTCCATTAAACCCCATTTTCCTATATAAATTACCAAGTGTTGGGTATGTTTTTATCAGCAGTATGAAAATGAACTGATACATGCATTGATGTCCGCCTCCTGCAATCCTGGCAGTGGGACCAACGGGTTACCTAGAGGCTGCTGCTTCTCACACAGGGATAGCTGACAAGGCACAAGGGCATTGCTCCCAGCAGGCTTCTGCCCCCTTCCTGGCAGTGCTAGGCCAGAGAAGAAAGAGTGGGGGAGAGGGAGGGATCTCTCTCCAAAGTTTGGAGAGCAAGCAAAAAGATAAATGGAACCAATTTCAAAAGGAATTACAGGGCATCTGGGGAAGCAAGACCCCTGAGTTATAGTTAAGACTCTGAAGAATCAATTAATATGCTTCACATCTACCCCACCTTACTCTTGGATGCACCAAATGCTTTCAGGAATACCCCAGGGTCCCCTCCTCACAGCTAAATAGGACTCACTTTCCACAGCACTAGAAACAAAGACTGCCAATACTCAAACTTTATGTGCAAAAGCTGCTTGTCTGAACCTGGATACAGAAAGATTTAAAGGCATACTTGCAGTGCAGTTTTTCCAGAGAAAGTGGAATGAAAAGGAAGAGGGAGGGAGCAAGGAGAGAGAAAATATTAGCTTAAGAAATCTCAAGTGTCTGACCCAGGAAGAACCCAGTGCTAGAGGGAAGTTGAGCTGTGACTGAGGTTTTCTTTTTGCAGTTCTACAAGGTGGTTAATGCCAGCCAATGGTGGCCAGCTCATTATTGATGGGTTGCCCAGGTTGGAGTGACTCATCTTTGCCCCAGACTTTGCCCCTCCACATGGATCATCCCCTGTTTAACAACCTAGGAAGTTGTTGAACCCCTTGCCAAGCACCAATGAACTTCGAGACTTTCAGAAATCACAACCTTTGTGGGTATCGGTCTCCTCATCTGCAAAATCAGGCACTGAGAAAATGATTTATAAGGTCCTATGTCTAATTTTCTGGAATTTAATAATAAAGACCTATAGTGGGATATGATTGGGAAAAAATCCTTTGCTTATCATGGAGTGGTTGCTAAGCAAGTCCCACAAAATAAGCAGTAGAGTCTCCCACATAACCTAGCTTTTAAATTTTAATCAAAGCCCATGAACTGAAAACAATCAAAATGTGTACTGAGGGAAGGGGCTGATTGCATATTAACTTCATTATTACCCAGATATATCCACCATCTCTCATGAGATTAGTGACATATGATCATCTTATTGGTCATCTTCAAAACAATTTACTAAATACTGACTAGTTGCCAAGGACTATGGTGGGAACTTTAGAGAATGCAGAAAACTAATATTATATTGTCTCCATCTTTATAATAATACAAACTAATACAGGAAATTTAGAATCATAATGGAATTTTTTTTAAGTCTAAGACTGACTACTGTTCATTTCAATGTTGACAAGTACGACATCCAGGTAGTGCTAAACCTTTGAAGCAAAAATGAAAATGTACAATATTATTATCACTAAATTATATCACTATAAACAAGTAATCACTAGTGCCCTGCAAATGTGCATAGAATATTTACCTTAGCCCGAATTTTGTTTAGAGAAAATCTAATCTTTCTCCTTAAGATAATGCTCAGGTTGGTCATTTTAGTTTCAATACTATATAGACTTGAGATTTTACCCACAACAACCTTCCAGACAGAACTGGCTATATAATTTGTGGGGTCCAGTACAAAATGGAAATGTGGGGTTTCTTGTTTACAAATTATTAATACTAAGAATTTTAAGATGGCAAAAGCAGGGTATTAAACAAAGTGTGGGCCCCTTCTAAGGTCGAGGCCTGCTCATAGATTATCCAGAAGTAGCCATGGCTGACATTTAATGAGTTCTTGCTGTCTGCTGAGCACAGCTCTAAGAGCTGTACATTTATTAACTCTTTTAATCCTCAGAACAACCCTGGGAGGGAAGTACTATTATTCTCTACCTATAATAAGGAAACAAAGGCATAGAAAAGTTAAGCATCTTACCCATGGATCTATGGACAGGAAATAGAGCCAAGATTTCACGGCAGGATTTTGAGGCAGACTGGGTTCAGGTCCCATCACATTGCTACACTATGCTGCTTCTAGTAGTCATTCTCCCAAACTGAATCTGGAAATTATACTAATGGATTTCCACTCCACAGAGTCTTTTAATTTTCTTGTCTCCTAAGATTAACACTGGGCTTGAGTAACTCTGAGGTTGTCACAGTTCCAAGGAACTGCAATGACTAGGGGCCTTTTGCATGTGTGTGACTGGATGGATATGGGCAAAGCAGAGTAAGCCTGAATGCAGAGAGCTGGGCATAGTTTTTCTTAGACTCCCGCATGTTATTGAACCCCCGCAGTCAAAGCCTGCTGAAGCTTCACAGCTAAGACTCTGGGTAAAAATGGCTCAGACCAAGAAGGCCCACCAGGCTCCAATAAGCCTAGTTCCATTTCATGCTGGAAGGATGGGGTCTCTGGGCAGAGCTGGACTTGCCTGCAACAACCTTGACTTCTAGCTCACGGCTGTGGCCTTGCTCCTGGGCAGGTCCCACAGGAGGAACCTCCATGCTAGGCACTCCACCCTTGCCACAGAGTTAGCCGCACAGAGTGGAAAATGAAGAGCGCTGTTCTTGGAGGGAAGAACGTTAGGCAGCCTGGCCCTCTGCTCTCTAGAACTGTGGTTTTCCAACTTCAGTTGGGCATAAAGATCAACTTAAAAAAAAACAGTCGGCTCCCATGCTTACTTTTTATATACAAGCCTTCCAGGATTTCTGATGGAGGTGACGCATTCTTCAAGCATCATCATCTAGAAAATGGATAACCTTAACGTGATGGGAGCATTGCCAGGGGAGGGTCGGTGACCCCTCTCCTTCACCATCAGAGATGAGCCAGCTACACCACCACTTCTAGCAGGGCTGAGGCAGGTCAGAAGATGAGACGCCTGAAGGAGGGAATGCAGCCCCCAGCTTTCTACATGGATGCTAGAGTCCCAGGTCATTCCTTTTTAACTTTGGCTAATAATCTTAATCAATATTTTTATTTTTACTGGAGCATAAATTGCACCCCCCACCATGACCTGCCATCCACAAAATGATGAAGGTTTCCTTGCAAACTTTTCTCCTTATAAAGGGTTTTCAGGCCTCCTCTTTCTCTCTCTACCTGCTGTTTCTTCTAAATACCATTTGGCTTGAAAAACTCTAATTTTGAGGAAATTCCTTTTTCTCAGAATGGATCAGAGTCATCAAATGCTGTTGATGAAATAGACTTTAGAGAGCATTCAGCCCGGCAATTTTACTCTATAGACAGGGAACTGAAAGCCAGATGAGGCCAGAGCTGACCAGAGTGACATAGAGTGGGGTCCACACTCACATGCATAGGTGAGGCCACTGAGCAGACCCTGCATACTCACCATTCACGCAACCCAAAGATGTCCCTTCTCCCCACAGTGCCACATCACACCCAGTAAGCTGACACCCACCGCAGGGCATGTCTAGACTCCCTTCACTGGATTTCCCATTAAAGCAATGCTGAAAACAGTTGTTTTTTTTTAATCTCTGGAAATGAATTGATATCTCATATAGCAAGAATACAGCAAGGGGGCCGGAAAAGTCCGCTGTGAACATGTTTTTTAAAAAAGTTATAAATAAACAGAACGATCAGAAACCAGATTAAACTTCCAAGTTGAGAATGAGACGTGGAAGATGAAAGGCCTGACCTGTTCCTAACTAGCCAGGCTGCGGCTCAATTGTATAATCCTCTCCTGGCTACATGGCACTGGAATTCATAAAACTGTGGACTTTTAGAACTGAAAAAGATCTTAGAGAAGTTGTCCAGCCCAATCCCTCACACTGGAGATGGTAAAACTGAAGCTCAGAGAGATGAAGACACTTGCCCGAAGTCACACAGCTCATATTTGTTAATCAACCAGGGTTATTCTTGCAGCTACTGAAGGAACCACAATGGATGTGTAATTTGGTCCCTGGCAAAGAAAACTTATTACCTAGTAGTTTGATATCTTTCCTATGTGGTGTAAAAATTTCAAACAGATCACCTAGTAGGGAAATGTAATCACAGTTTTTAATTAACATAAAGTCTCCGAGACATTTGTTGTTGTTATATTACTTTTATACAGTGTAAATCAATTAGCTGCAACGGGCTAGTGGGTGCAGAGAGTGGCAGTCAGTCACTGGGCAGATAATTGCTCTGTTGCTGAGATTAACACCTTATCATGCTATTAGGACTGCTTATGAATCTTGTAGTCCCGACGAAGCCTACAATTTAGGGACTATCCATTCCAGCTGTCTCCATTTCTATAGCCTCCTACATGCAAACAATTGTTGCACTAAGTGCAGCATTTAATTAAAGGCCCTTCCCATGTCATGGCTACAGTCACGGGAAAGACAAGAGACCTCGTTTGTTTAAAAAAAAAAAAAAAAAAAAAGGTACCTCTTGCTGGTGATTAGTTAGTGTTAAAGCAATCAGGATTAAAGTCAGGGAGGCCATGAAAGAAGGATAAGATATTGATGACTGTGGAACTGTCAATTGGAAAGTACATGCATACGTTTACTTTCGTGTGTTAGTAAGAAATCAGCGATGAGAAATATGAGCCCGGGTTTCTTCTCGCTTTAAAGGGTCATATCATCAAAGCCTGGAGTGCTCTGCCTCTTCCCAAAAGTCCAACCAAGCATCTTACCAGAATTGTTTTTAACTATCAGATTCTAGCATGAGAGGTCAGAAATTGGGGATTGACAAGGCAGGTTGGGGAAAGCATGAACCAAGACATTCAGATTGGTTTGTTGTATCCAAGTACGGACAGAAATTTATCTCCAAGGGAGCTCTGATTATATTTTAACAAAGGGAAGCTTTCCCTGGGACAATTCTTACTGCAATAGGAGACACCCCCTCCCCCAAAAAAAGTCAAACAGGCAACAAATAATTTTACCATTACCAGGTAATATGTGTTAATTGCTCAGTTTATATACTCAGAATGCCATACCATTAGAGACTGTGTATGCATTGTAACTAGAGCATTAATAAATTTAAAATGTGCCTATTAGGATGACAGCTTTGGAGGTGCAAAGGAATAACAGTTATCACTTGGCAGAAGCCGCTCTCACCCCATCTGCCGAGACTTTGCATACATTTTCAGCTTCCTGAGCAATGATTAGGCCTGTCAGAACCTCTTTAACCTTCTAACTGCTGGTCCCCACTGGCCGTAATTAGAGACTAATGAATTCAGAAGATGCAGGCCGTGAGGAAAACTGCCTTGACAGTTTGTGTACAAATTAAGCCCCAATTACTTCATGCATCTTTTGCATCGCTGATACAAGTCTCTGTTATTATTTTTGAATATGGTCATTTTAGCAGAAACGAAGAACTTGGCTAATGTATTTTGTCATTTTTATGGCTCATCATAAAGAAAAAACATACTGGGCGGGTCATGAATATGTGAAATAAACTACAGCAGATTATAAAAAGAAATTAATTTTCCTCTTGGGAATACCCTACCACCTTTTCATCCCCCCGATGGATAAACTTATTAATATGGTTATTTTTATTCTGATAATATCTGCCATTGAAGGATCCTGACTCATGAGCAGGTAGTTTGGCTTAGGTTTAGCCTCTGAGTAAGGAGCATTTGGGAGTGAGGTGCCCCTTCATTGCTAATCCTGGTGTGAAGACTGCTTCGAGAATATTGTCAGAAATTCTTTGTTCTGTGCCCTTACTTGTTCTTCCACCTTCAATGGCCACGGTGAAAAGTTTCTAACTCCAAGGGGCACACCTTTTAACTGCCAATAGAACGGTCCAATGTCCCCATTCTTAAAAAAAAAAAAAAAAAAAACTTCTCGAAACAATATTGAATCTTGTTTCAGCCCTACCAGTCAACCTGACTAGATATTCTATTTTAGTCTTTCGGGAGATCCTTTCCCCTACTCTCTGGGGTCACACAAAAATCCTGGCTTATATGTCCTCAGAAAGCCCGGGGAGTAGGCCCTCATGTCTGCAGGATGGTCATCACCTTTCTGGCTATTTCTTTAGCTACAAGATGCTGCTGTTAGCAGTGGGTCCTGCCAGATGTCTTGGTCTCTGTTGCTCCAGGCAGCTCAAAGATCCCCCTGCCGGCGGTCCTTCCTTGCTGAGGACCAGTCTCCTATAGCCATCCTCCACTAAAGTTCCTACATACCAGAGAGTTCCTATTCCTGCTCCACATCAGCCTCAGAGAAAGTTAAGATTCTTCCTTCTGTCTGACCACTTTCAACTCCCCAGCTTAAAGCACTTCCCTTCATTCTCTCTAGTGGTAGGCAGAATAATCCCACCTTGCTTTAAAAAACGCTTATGTACTAATCCCCAGAATCTGTGATGTCACTTCACATGGAAAAAGAGACTTTACAGATGTGATTAAGCTAAAGATCTTGAGATGGGGGGATTATCAAGGTTGACTCAGTCTAATCACAACGTTCTTATTGGAGGAAGACTGGGGGATAAGAGTCAGTAGTAGGAGCTATGACAATGGAAGCAAGAGGTTGGAGTGATGTAAGGAAGGGGCCACAAGCCAAGCAATGCAGGTGGCCTCTAAGAGCTGCAAAAGGCCAGGTAATGAATTCTCCCCTGAAGTAACCAGAAGGAGCTGTCCTTGCAGACACCTTGATTTCAGACTTCTAATGTCTGGAATTATAAGACAATAAATATATATTGTTTTAAGCCACTACATTTGTGGTAATTTGTCACAATAGCAGGAGGAAACTAATATAGCCTTCTCCAATGGAAACTTAAAGATTTGTGTTTGTATTATAATAATCACTCCAATAATAATTAATACAATAATTTATTTTATATAAATTAATAGTATCTTTCCTCTTATCTGTAAGATTGAAATCATAAGCTATCCTCATGAGGATGTTATGGTAACTAAGGGAATTAAAGAATCAATTGGATATGTGGACCAAAGTAGATATGCAATAAAAAGTTGACAACGTAGAGCTCAAAAGTGAGTCTTAGTATGAATATGAGCCAAGACAGTGTCAGCCCCTACCTGGCTTCCTCTGCACTAGGTCCACACAACTGGCTCTTTAATGGTCTCTAGATGCAGGCTGCAGCTCACCTATTCTTGAGTGGCAGGAAGCAGTAGTTTCTTGTCTAGTGGACCTAAACCTGACATACCTACTCTTTTAGGCTCTGAGTACTGTAACCAAGACCCATGTATTTGGTCCACTATATCACCGCCAGGTCTTCTTCACAGTCAAAAATTATCTGGGTCTCAAGTTTAGAGAACAAGATACTGGAGTTTGAGTAGCTCTGAAATTACAGTGAATTCACCTCCTGTGTTGGCTTCATCCGAGACCTTAACCTTAGGGCAAAGAAGCCTTAATTCTATTTGCTTCACCTGTTGAGGACTCCTGTTCTGGAACTAGAAGCTACATCCTCAACGCAATCCATTGACTGGGGCCATAGGACCCCACATCATACTTGTTCGTCCCTTTCTGGGACCTATGTCTTTCCTCTTTATCCCCCATATTTAATCACATTCATCAGCCATCCTTGGATAGATTCTTGAGTGAATATCAAAAGCTAGCTTGACTGGGGGGATTTGATCCACATCTTAACACCTGCTGTTTTACCACTGAATTTTTCTCTCCAGAGCTACCTGAGTCATGCTGTCCATTTCCCCCAGACCATCAAGTTCCCATCCTGTATACGGCTCTACTTATGTTCTAGGTTGCCATCAGTCCATTGTTAAGGCTGTCTCTGAGTAAAGAGAAAAGCTAAATAAAGATGGTCGTGGCTTAAACACTGACTTAGAAACTCATTTCATTAGAGTGATTTATTAAAAAGCAGTACTTAGGAAAAGCATATTATTCATCTCTTTAACATGATTGCATTAGAGCGATTTTTTTTCTGGTGACAACTTTCGAGGTAGGTTTTTTAAAGAATAAACACAGTCTAGTGGAAAATTATGCCTAGAGTCTTGGCCTGCAGTGACAAGGTACAGACTGCTACAAACTGAGGCCTTCCCATAGACCTCCCCTTCCTGTGAACTCCTAACTCAGCTGCAGTCTGACAGAATAGTAATGAGAAGTATGAGAGTCCCGGAGCAGGGAGAAAAAAGGGGTGGAAACAAGAAGCCCCAGACCCTGCCCACATCCCCGAAGACCCATGTGGGGAAACAGCTCTCCAGCCTTCAGCAGATAAGCTTCAGGGGATGCTGAAGAGAAGAGGGAGGACTAAACTCACAGTGTCTGGAGCTGCGTTTTAGATTCACAGAACCCCAGAATGGGAAATTGTGGACCAGAAAGGCCAAAGCAGGACCACTTTTTTCCCTTTGTGATGGCAACACAGCAGGCCTTCCTATCAGGCCTTCATGGCCATGGTCTTGAAATGAACTCAAGAAGTGCTGCTGTAGGCCAAGATCAGAAAGTGTACCCCATGGACACCCGGAGCCCCAGGAGGTTATACGGTCTTCAATGAGCCTGGTATTATACCCTCATTCTTTCTCCTAGCAAAGTGAAAATCATTTCTATCATTGCTGTTCAAATTGTGGCTCATTTATTTGTTTGTGAAACTAAGATTAACTAGGCTTTTGAAAGACCTCACCCATGGATGAGGTTCTGAGCTAACACACCCTCCCTGCCACCTAGAAGAGTTTCTCTCTGTGTGTCTTTGACTCCTCATCTTCCACATCTTGACTCTGGGATCTCCACACTCATTTAACAGACGGTCTTTGTATTTCAGAGGAGATTCGGTGCCTTTTATAAATTTAATTTACATGGAAGCCTGGTAAATAGTTTAGGGTCTGAAGGGAGATAGGCCTGACCCTGCCACACCCTGGCAGTACTCTGCTCAGAAACATCACCCGACGCGTGAGAGACCGCATGCATGCAGCGGGCTGGGCTACAGGTCTCCTTCTGTCTCAACTACTAGAGGTGGGACAAGTCAGGGTGGCCCACTACCGTGTGGGTGGAAAGCTTCTGAGTCTCATTTACACCATATTTGTTTTTGGAGCGTGTCACAGAACTTACCTTTGAAAGGCTCGTGCTTTCTAGATTTGCTTCTGAAGTTACAATAAAATTCCTCTTTCACATGGAAAATGTTAATTTCACCCAAAATGAGGTTAAATAACATGTGATAGGCCCATAATGGTTTATTATGTTCTTTTTTGGGGGGAGGAATGAGGTCTCATTCTATTATTGCCCAGGCCGGAGTGCAGTGGCACAATCACGGCTCACTACAGCCTCAACCTCCCCAGGCTTAGGTGATCCTCCCACCTCAGCCTCCCAAGTAGCTGGGACTACAGGTAATGCACCTGGCTAATTTTTTGTAGAGATAGAGTTTTGCTAGGTTGCCCAGGCTGGTCTCAAACTCCTGAGCTCAAAGAATCCACCCACCCTGGCCTCCCAAAGTGGTGGGATTACAGGTATGAGCCACTGCTCCTGGCCATGGCTTTATATGAAAAAGCAAAGACTGTTCACCACAATGTTGGGAAAAGTAGAGCCCTAACTGCAGTGCTCCAAAACTGGCCCACATAGGAGCACCCTCTCTGGCAGTGTTCCAATCCATTGCCTTGTTATGTTTTTATAAGTCTCTTTATCTCACTAAAAGCATTCTCCTTTAAGGATGGAGATGATTCATCTAAGTATCTCTCTAAAATGCCTAGTTTACCAAGAGCAAAGTCTTCAAAAGACACTGCAAAATCTAATTAAAATATATCACTAACAATGAACGTATTCTTAAGAGGTACCCCTGATGGTTAACATATATTCTTAAAAGTTAATTTCTAATGGAGTCCCTTCCATAGAGCACTTCTTAAACACACACACACACACACACACACACACACACACACACAGGCACAGGCACACACACCCCAAAATGATTTCCTAAAACTGAAAAACTGAGCAGGTCATTTTCACAGTATCCCTGCCTTCAGAGTGCAGGCTTTCTGAAGATAAAGACTGTTTTCTGGACTCTGTATTTCTGCACATCACCTAGTTCACTGAGACCATCCAGGGATGCATCACACATTTATTTAGTACTTACGTAGGGGGCTGGGGAAATCGCAGCCATCGAGACGAAGTCTCTCATTGACATTCTAGTGTGTGCTGAGAGGCGGAGGAGAAGGAAATAGATAACAGAGGAGCAAATAAAAAAACACCAGACACTATAAGGCCTATCAAAAAGTAGATGATGGGTGGTGACTAGATGTATGAAGCGTGCCATTTTATATTGAGGTTCAGGAAAGCCCTCTGAAAATCGAAATTAAATTAAAAATGCGTTCAGTATCCACATGACAAGAAGGAGCTAGTCATGGAAGCATCTGGAGCAAGAGTGTCCTAGGAAAAGCCAACAGCCAGAAGCAGGACTGGCTTGGAATGGTGAGGAGCTGAAAGAAAGCCAGTGTGGCTGAAGTCTTTGAATGGCAAGGACAAGTTGAGGAAATGGGGTCACAGAGGTGAGCAGAAACCTGATCACAGGGAGCTCTGTGGGTTTTGAAATATGTTTGGATTCTTGAAGCGGTAACAGAGGCCATTAGATGTCTTAGGGAGGGAAGAGACATCATCTGCTTTATGTTTTAGAGATCACCCCAATGGCTACGTTGGGGATGGAAGGCAGGTAAGAGGAAGCACTGGGCCACCAGTTAGGAGGCTGCTGCGGAAGTCCCCTGGAGAGACAGCCTTGCCAGGGAGGACAACTGAGCAGGAGTAATAACTGCACAAACATCCCTCAAGAAATGCAGCAGAGGGTTTCTGCACAGAGGAACAGCACGAGCAGGACCTCATGGAAGAGATCCTTTTCTCCAGGTATACCAAACTCTCAGTTCCAGGCTCACAGTACCAGTACCAGGCTCACAAGTTCATTATTTTCACATGGATATTCTCCCATATGAAGTTTATAAATGTATTGCCAAGTTCCTCGTTTAAGGGGGACTAGAGTGAGGCTGAGATGAGTGACAAGAAGAAGAGGAGGGAGATGAAGAGTATATGAGCTCTTCCTTTCCCTTTTAACTCACATCATGGTTCCTAACACATATAAGTGTGGGTATGTATATCTTCATTATTTTCACATAGATATTCTTCCATGTGAAGTTTAGAAATGTTTTGCCAGGTTCCTTATTCAAAAACATTGTTTGGAATTTGATTGGGATTGCATTATATTTATAAAAGTAACTTGGGGAGAATTGACATCTTTACTGAGTTGAAGTTCAGTGAGCCTGAGAACTTGATATACCTGGAGAAAAAGGAGTCCAAACAGAAAAAAGAAAAGAAACAAGAGAATCAAAACATGCCAGACACACAGGAGTCATCTTAGCAAGAGAGTAAAAAATGGAAGGCTTTTATAAAAAATAGTATCAACAGAGTCAAGGGACACAGAACAAGACCAGAAAGCATGTAGGCCTACCCCACGCAATTGGATGGGCAGATTCAACTCAGTAAAGATGTCAATTCTCCCCAAATTATTTTTATAAATATAATGCAACCCTAATCAAATTTCAAGTGATGTTTTTGAATGAGGAACCTGGCGAAACGTTTCTAAACTTCATGTGGAAGAATATCTATGTGAAAATAATGGAGATATGCACAACCACACTGAAATTAGGAGCCATGATGTGTGTTAAAAGGGAAGGAAGCGCTCATAGACTCTTCATCTCCCTCCTCTTCTTCCCACTCCCCTCAATCTCACTCTAGTCCCCCTCAAATCCCCCTTCCCTCACATCATGTTCTGACTGATGTGAGCTAAAGAGTAAGTGTCCTCTCACACATAACACTACAGCAGTGTTTTTCAAACTTTTTTGGTTGCGACCATGTAAATATATGATGTATATAGAAATATACATATATTATTGAAACAAATGTTTCTGAAATAATATCTACTATTGCCATATGTGACTCATGTTTTTATTTTTTACTCTTTTTTACTCTATTCTATCCAACTCTATTTGGCTAAGAAATTATATGTGGTCAGAATCCTCTTAATTGATTTTATAGCTCACTAATGTGTCAGGACCCGTAGTTTCGAAAACATTGACCTCAGGGACTCTGGTGATTTCAGTCACCAACCCCGATCAGCAACCTCTGGCTGAATATTTTACCCAGTTTGCTTTAATGTAAGTTCAGGAAGCACTTCATTTAGATTTCCTGCTAGCCTGACACTGAAGAGAATAATTATATCTCAACTGGTTTGGAAATAAGAGAAGTGGAATTTATGGTTTGTTTGTTCATTTGTAATGATGATTATGATTAAATAAAGCTCTCAGCAGTTCCTCAATGGGAGCCCCAGCTCCCAACTCTGCTGTGGTTAGCTTTTCTCTTCCATCTGGTAGGCCCATTCAGCTCCTCTGTTCCAACAGGCCAGTTTTTTAAAAGCAGACGGGGGACTAAAGAACATATTCCACCTCATTGCATAGAAGACAGTAACCCTCTAAGGCAAGGTATTTGTTTTTAACTGCATGGAACCGAAGCACCTTCTGAAAAAAAAAAATCAAGCTACAACTCTGTTCTCTCTATAAAAATTTAAAATCACATTGATTATCCATCTGGCATATCTCCTAATTATGCAGCTCTTAGTGGACTAATACTCTCTTCAGAAGCAAAACAGTAAATATACAAAGAGAAACATGATTAATAATTTCTTTTTGTTCTGTCTTTCAGCACAAGTCCCCACTCATTCATGCTCTCCACTGAAAATGTTTCATAACTGTACCCAAAGACAGACATGATGAACTGTCCCCTGACTATCTGCCCAAGAAAGAG